ATAATGGAAATAATCAAAGGATTGTTTGATTGCAGTGGTATGAAATGATCTTATTAGATGATATTGGGGCTAAAATCAGTTGTTCTTCCATCCAGTTGAATCTTTCTGGATCACTTTGTGTCACATTAGTGAACCAGAGTTGGTGCTTCTGCAGAGCTTAAGGTAACTACATTAATGAGAGGTCCTTGAATGCACCACCATGGCCTGTATTAACATAAACAACTGAACAGAAGCTCAGAAATGATCAGCTGAGAATAAAGCTGCTGCTCTAAAGGGATTTAATCATCAGTGTAAGACTAGAACAAGTAAAACAAACAACTAGAAGATAAATGAACTTGTTTCTCCATCAGCAGTTCTGACCCTGATCCAAAGGAAGAAAGTTTGTCAGGATAGAAGATCAGAACACATAAAACACTGTTCTACATCCAGACTTTCTGATTATTGTTCAGTTCCTGCTAACAAAACCAAACATCATCGCTTATCAATTATCATCAGAGCTAATTATTAATCCATCATTAATATACTGTTTACATGGAAACCTGGACATTTTGGATCCACTTTAAGCTAGAGCCACCGTGGGGAACTTTAGCGTTCTTGGCTTCACTGTTTAACTTTAAATACATAATTTCCTTCATGATCCAACAGAACCTCAAACTACAACCCAGCCATGGTTCCTTATCAATGGATAAGTCTGTTTATTTTAAATCAGATCAACCTTTAGCTGCAATAGGTGACCTTTTTCTACACGTTTTATCTTCATGAAACCAAACTGAATCAGTTTGAAATGTTTGATTCCACATTTTTATTCCTTTTAATGAAACAATTTGTTATTGGCTATTTAGACTAGTTCGGTCTCCGGTGAGTTCAGGGTAAAGATTTGTGGTGTTTCTAAGTGTCTGTAGTTCCCCTGTTGGTCCAGCAGTGGTCAGGTTGATTTCAGCTAAAGCCAGAATTCAGGTAAAACATTTTATGCAAATAGTCTGAGCCAGGCAGAATATATTTTTCCCAGTTCAGACTCTAGAGGCTTGAGTTGTTGAAACACCTAAACCTAAGGATCTCTGAGAAATCAGCCATGTTTTAATACAGTTACCATGGAAACTCAAACTCACTTCAGGTAGGAGTTTCCCCTCTGGTGACAGGTTTTCCCATTTACCGCTTTTAGAGCAGGACACTACAAGGACCTAGGACTTTGTCTGTTTGTTGTTCTACAGAATGTGAGTTAATGATTCCTGGTTCCTCCACAGAGTCGATCAGCAGAACTCAGAGGTTCCCAGTGGTCCATCTGGCCAGCAGCATCAAACCCAGCTGGACTCCAT